TTCCACTATGGACATCAGTGTGCCAGATCCTCAGGAAGCTGGGAGTAGATTTACCTCAAGATCCAGCTATAAACATGCTTGGTCATAAGCACAAAAGACTATATCAACATCCCACTACATGATTCTAGCTCATCCATGCTCAGTGCTTCACTGTTAATAACAATCTGCCTAGATGGCCACCAGCAGATGAATGGACAATTAAAATGTGGTAGATTTGCACAATAGAATTTTAATTAGTTGTTTAAAACATGAATTTATGAAATTCACAGGTAGATGGATGGCACTAGAACAAATCATCTTGAGGGGGTAATCCAGACCCGCCAAAACAAGAGTTGTATGTATTTACTTTTATGTGGATAATACGTTTTTGGGCCTTCGTTAGACATTCTATACAATCCATTTAACTGCAGGGGTTAGGTATACAATATAGGGATTGGGGGCTAGGGGGCGGCGGTCTCCCAATGAATGGAAAATAGAATATATATTTATAAAAGATGGGGGTGTACTAGAACAAGAAAACTTAATGGAGATGGAGAAGGAAGTCAAGAGTAAGGGGGTATAGTAGTTTCAATGAGAATGGCCCCATGGGCTCTTGCATTTAAATGCTTGATCTTCAATTAGCAGAACAGGTTGAGAAGTATTAGGAGGTATGACCTTGTTGGAGGTGGTGGGTCTCTGTGGGTGGGCTTTAATGTTTCAAACACCCATGTCAAGGTCAGAGAGTCTTTCTTTTTGTTCCCTGTGACTCAGGATGTAAAGCTCTCAGCTACTACCATAGTGCCATGCAGGTCTACTTCCTACTGGAACAATCATGGGCTAACCCTGTAAAACTGTAAGCAGGCCTCCAATTAAATGCTTTCTTTTTATAGGGGAAAGGCATTTAAGGTAGCCTCTCCACTATTGCTTAGATTCCTTGTTGGGGTCATTCTTGTGGATCTCTGGACGTTTACCTAGTACCAGGTTTCTCTTTGAACCTGTAATGGCTTCCTTTATTGATGTGTCACTTTTCTTGCTCTTCTCTATTCATCTCCCTACTCAATCTTGCTGATCTCTCATGTTCTCCTCCCCTTCCTTTTCTCCCATCCTTTTTCTCCTACCTCTCTGCTCCCAGCCCCCATTTTCCCAAGTTTTCCAGTGGCTCTTGCATGAACAGACATCGGAAGCCCATTCCCTATGGAGGGTTAGTTATTCTAGGCTGAACCTAGATACATGGGGGGAGGGAGGGCTAGGCCCTACCACAAATAACTAGACAGATTTTGATGATCCCTCATGGAAGGCCTCACCCTCACTGGGGAGTGATTGGGGGATGGGTTTGAAGCATTGGTGGGGAGCATGGGAGGTTAGGAGGGAGAGGAATCTGGGGTTAATATGTAAAATAAGTTGGCTTATAATAAAATATGAAAAAATGCTTTCTTTTATAAGCATGGTCACGATGTCTCTTCACAACAATAGAACAGTGACTTAGAGAGGGAGGGACTATAGAGAAGGGAATCTAATAGTATAAACCATTTTAGGAGTCATGTTGAAACCAACTTACAGTAGAAAGCTTCTTAAAATACAAAATTAAAATCTAAATGAAGTAGTTCACCAAATGAATGGGGAGACAAGGCACTATTAGACATCTTTTGCTACAATTTATACCTCCAGCAATAGGAATTAGTTTCGTTTAATTGAGTTTTTGGCCAAAGGAGCCCCATTGAAACTCCTAAACTACTCAGATTATTGCCAAGTCTATTGCTTGTTCTCCACAAATTTATGGGAAAGCCCTAATCCTGAAGACAATACTTATGTATAACAAAGATCATGGAGTCATCAACCTAGAGACTACCTAGAGCATTCTTCACCCCTATTGATGAATGTTCATAGTACTGGAAGGTGTGCTGCTTACCTCCAGAGGGGAATGGTGACCTGCAACCCAGCTATAAACCCTGATGTCTACAATGATGACATTCCTGCAGGATAAACTGCATGATAAACAAACTTATGGCAGTAATTATCCAATTGAATTTAAGGTTTACTCCATGAGATGAAATCCATATCTTATATGTTCAAACACCTGACACTAGATAGACCATAGGTCTAGGGGAAATCCAAATACTGTTGTTTTGCTAAAGGAACATAGTAATAAAATTATTCCAAACAATATTCTCCTATGCCTATAGATCGGTACCTTAATCATCATCAGAGAAAGTTCCTTCTGCAATAGATGTGAACTAACATAGAGACCCATAGCTGGAGAAATGTGCAGACAGTGAAAGACTGGAAAACTCATCCTAAATGGAATATCTCTATCAAATATCACTCTTCAGAGCATAATGGAACTTCAGAAGATGATGTGGAAAGATTGTAAAAGCCCAAGGGGACAGAAAACACCAAGGATAGTGCCTTTCAGAGACAACAGGATTTATGCACATATGAACTTGCAGAGATTGCAGCAACATGCACAAGTCCAGAACAGGTCTAAACTAGATGGGTTCACAATGTTGAGAGTAGAAGGAGATACAAATTCCTTCTCTAGACAAGAAGCTATCTCTAATTGTGACTGTGTGCAAAAATACAATGTTCTCCAATGGCGCCTCATTAGGTATATAAACCATAACTAAAGGCAGGGTCCATGCCCAAGAGTAGACAGGTTTAATCTTACATTTGGAGAATTTTTTCAGTCTCATACTTCTTTGTTTGGGAAGTTCTTACCTTACTAGTCTTTTAGTCACATATTCTGTTTTCTTAGTTTATGTTTTCATGGATTTGATTTTCTTTGTGTGTGTCTTACTATTCTTATATGTTGCTCATGCTTTTTATTTTTATTATTCTGCCTGCTTTTTTCTAAAAAGAGAGGGAGAATAAATGGAGTTGGATGGGTGGGGATGTGGAGGAGATCTTAGAGGAGGTAAAGGAGGGAAAATCATGATTATAATAGCATACTGACTATAGGAAGGAGTAGAACAAAAGTGTTCAGAGGCTGAATATAAAATGATGGTGACATTGATCTAGCTTCTCACAGAGAAAGGAAAACTGGCTCCTCACTCACCACTCTAATTTTATTAAATGTAAATCTTGTTTGCCGTTCCTCACTGGATATCTGGCTATTAACCTGAATACTTGAATATATTTTTGTCATCTGTTGGGATGACTTTCATTTTTCTCTTCATTATCCAATAGACAGCTCAACCTTCATGTCCCAGAGTCTCTTTCCTGAAAGCTTTCCTTACCTACTGGAAGCAGGTGATGCTGTTTCAGACTTTTGTATACTATAAAACTTACCTTGTGTTTGCTATGATGGGTCCTAGCAAAAACAATATCAATATCAATAACATGTATGCAATTATGTCATATTTGACATATAAAGAAGTTGAGCAACTAGAAGTTGGGATTGCAATCCAAGGCTCAATTAACCTGGGAAGATCCAGATTTAGCTATTATTTGGTAATTTTACTTAATATACCCACGTCACCTATTGTATTCTTCCTTGTACATTTGCAAGTGCAAAGGGAATAGTGTAAGGAAAAATCCTGATGACTTGAATCTCTGCCAGCCCTGAATTAAAAGTTTAAAGCCACAATATTAGTAGATGATCAATGAATGCATCGACTGCCAAAGCTATTCTTTCTGATGTCTGGAGTTTGCAATACTACTTTAAAAGTTCAAAACATAATGTTTTCCCATTTTATTATGTATGTGAATTTATAGACCATAGCTATAAAATAAATACACACATTTTTTTTGACAGATTTAACAGATTTCAGAAACAAAACTGTCCTGAAGTAACTGAAAACTGAATGCAATCTGAACGCATAAATGCCTATCTGACTATGGTTTTCTTCTGTACCCACAGAAAGACAGTCTTACCTGGATTTATAGTATTTACTTCACAATACCCTTTAATAAAAAAATACAGAAGATAATAAATTCCTCCATAAATATGGGAAATTTAGATGTGAAATTTTAATTAATATAATATCATATCTACATAACTACAAACAGATTACGATATGTTTTATAATATATTTTAATATATATAATATAAAATAAGTATTGTAATAATACATATGTTAAAATTTATGTTATATTTCATGGATCATGACCACTGCTTAACACATGAGAATCAGTGGAAGTAGTGGTATTTCAGATTATTGTATTTAGAAGCTTCAGAGTTTGAAGGTCCAGAGTTAAGAAACTACTGCACCAAGGAAAATTTTATTTTATTTGGAAAATTTAATTTAGAAAAGATTTGATCAAAACCAAACTGATACTTCAGTCATATATAACTCATTTTCTTAATTATAATATGCCTGCTCTTATAGTTAATTAACGTTTTCCATGTTCATTTACGTCTATATGTCTAACATATTTATCTATTTCTTTCTTAATGCAAAATAATGCGTCATAAAATAATCTCTACTACTGAACCAAACATAAAAATTAGCCTTGATTCTATAAGCACTAGCAGTGAGACTTATCTGAGGTTATTTTAAGAAAATTGCCACAAACAATATAAGCATGGATGAACTTGCCTAAAGCATCATGCTTGCATCTGTCCCTTCTTGGACACTAAACTATGCTGAGTCTTCAAGGTCAATATCCTGGCAAGAAGAAGAGACTCACCACATATATTTGACCAGAAATTCAGTCATGAGTTCTAGTACTTCTTTTCTAAAGGCTCATGCTTCATCCTTTGCCTTATTTGCTCATATTCAATATTTATCCCATCTTGTGGTGAAAGGAATATTAGTTAAACACACTGAAATCAGGCTACAATCCAGAATTTTTTTTAAATATTAGAATAAAACTTCAGTCTCACATAACAGCTTTTTGGGGGCACTTTTAAGTGAATGTGGTTTTCCCCTCTCACCCCACACAAACATTTATAATACCACATTCCTCCCTCAGTTTTAGTCTTTCACTTTCTTATGTGCTAGTTTTGTTACCTTCTAAGTTTGCAAACACATGATCAACATCAACTCATCCATTGTCTTCTACCTGAACAGAATCACTCTTACCGTGAAGCCCTCGGAATACTGAAAAGGAGCCCTGGAACTTTCGTCTGCTGTAGGACTCAGCGGCTTGGGGTCAGACATAGAACGCTGCATCATCTTGGCTGTCTTAGGACTTGCTGGGGGCACTTTAGCCATATCTGGATGTAGTACTTTCTGTGGACTTATGTCATCAGGGAGGGGTTTTTCATAAGGTACAAAGGCTGACTCTAACGCTTTGCCTGGTGAGAGTGGTGAGATGGGTGAATAAAGGACTTTTGGAGACTTGGGTGGGGAAGGAGCCAGCTGGACTGTGGTGTCTGCCCGAAGGTGAGAGGACGAATAGCCAATCTCTAAAGGTGTTGGGCGTTTCTTGTCTTTGGGTGGAGAGGTGGCACCCAGATATGGAGGGCTCTGTGTGTCTGAATCTGTTTCTGTTTGACATCCTAAACTGCCCCCTTTGTAAGTCTTTTCAGGTGCTGAAATATGTTTAATTATTTCTACCTTGGCATCCACCCGTGCTCGTATGGAAGGTGTTCTTATGGTTCCCACTGGCTCAGTTTGCACAGATATCTCTGCGACTGTCTGAACTGCTACACTGGAGACTTTGGAAAGGGGTTTGTTCTTGTCACCCTCTGTGGTGCTCTCTCCATATTTCCCTGGACGTGCTTTTCTTCTTGACCTAGAAGGGACATCCCATTCATCCTGATCTTCATCATCAGTTTGGACACTGGTATCAACACTCTTTTTAGTTCTTCTCCTCCTGCTTGCATAGCTCCGATCAGCAGTTTCTTCATCATCAGTTTGTACACCACTGTCCACTATCTTTTTTAAATTCCGTGGATCATCTGCCATACTTTCCCCCAACTCTTCATACTGACCCCTAACTTTAGCTCCAGAGCTTCTCTTTTTGGGTTGTTTCTCCTCTTTCACAACAACATCTGTCAGAGGAATCTCTGAAACAGTGCTCAAGATGCCAGGCGGGGCAATGTACTGAGTCACCCCATCAGATTGAACAGTGTACCATCCTTGGCTCTGTGGTATTTCAATGGCCACTACAGTAGAAGTTGTAGTGGTGGCATCTTCAGTGGCCCAAAACTGACTGCCCTCTTGAGCAGCATATTGACCCTCTAATATTGCTTGCTCAGTGGTAGTTTGTGGAGAAGCAGTTCCAGAGGGGTCATAGTTATACTGGTAGATCTGGCGAAGTTTTTGCTCCTCGAGCTGCTGGTGCAGCTGTTGTTGCAGCTGTTGGATTTGCTCAAGCTGTAACTGTTGCTGAGCTAGTGTCTCCTGCCTCATCATGAACTGGGCTTGCCGCTCTTCTTCTTGCTGATAAAGGAGGTGCTGTTTCATAGACTGCAGCTCTTCCAGCTTTTTTTGAACCATGATCTTTTCTTGTTCTCGGAACCTCTGAATTTCCTGACGTTCCCACTCCAGTTCCTCAGCAAAGCGTTGTTGCTTAATTTTCTCCAGTTCCAGGAGCTCTCGCTCCAAGTCAAGTTGCTGTTGCTGTTTATCTTCATCAGATACAATTAAAAGAGTGTTCTCTTCTCCTACCACCTCAGAAAACACTTCAGAAGCTGTGGTTAAAGCAGGAACAGAGTCCACTGTCTCAGCAGGAAGAGTTTCCATAGTAATAGTTTGCAGACTGGTATTGATGTCAATACTGGTTACTGAGATGTCTGTTTCTGACGCACCTGTTGTTATGAAATACGATCTAGGCATTGGCTGGCTTTGATGCAGGGCTGATAATGAAGTCAGTGCATCTGTTGTATGAATACCAGATAAATCTCTGACCGTGGTACTGAAAATGGAGCCAGGTTGAGTGGTGATAGCAAATGTGGAGGGGATTGGAGTTGCTACTGAAGAATAGACAACACCATTAGATGACCTCAAAACACTTCCCACACCATACTGGGGTCCTGGAGGTGGAGTCATTCTTGCTGTGGAATATTGTGGGGTACAAATCCCAACTCCTGAAATAACTTGGCGTGTTTCTGGGTATGGACCTGTAGTCTTGCTTGAATAATCCATTACCTCACCTGAAATATAGGGCAGAGTTATGGTCCAGTTCTCAGAATGAATGATGCTGTTTAGGTCTGAAAGTGCTTTTTATCTTGATGAGCACAATGAATGGGACTGCATGCAAATCCTCAGGTTAACCTAATTAGATGCGGAAGAAAAGCGATGTTGAACATGCAGGCACATGCAGGCAACAAGAGCAAGAACCACGTAGAAACAAAAATGCACATGTACTTTAAAAAATATTGCCAAAACATCCAAAGTAAGCAAAAATATAAATAAAACCAGAGTAGGAAAATTTGTTTTTCACCCTGTAACGAGATGCATAACACCATAATGGCATTTCAAGGCAGGGTCTATTGCTTTATCATACTGACCTGTAGTCACTCTCCCTGAAGTTAGATCTACTGCTGCATCAGCTCCTCCCGAGTAATCAAAAGCGTTCTTACTTTTATAGAAAAAATGTCCAGCTTCTGCTAAATTTGTGTCAGACATGGATGGCTTCATGCCACTTATCCCTCTGTAACCATATGGCCCTGATCTATCATATTGATAGTGGTCATCCCTATATCCAAAACGGTCTTCGGGAAGGGTAGTTGCAGGCTTCTGTGCTGTGCAGCTCCTTCCAAAAGGCAACTTATAAACCATGTCACAGCACACAGCTCTTCTTCCTGCAGTCAAATCAACAGGTTTTTCATCGTCCTCTATTATTGTGGTCACTACATTTGAAGTAGATTCATCCATTGTTACAACTGTTCTATGAGACTTTGATGTGCTGAGATCTACCACTTCTCCATCAGTGATCCCCTGAGATGTGGTGCTGTCAGTCCATCCATTGGTGACACTGACTGGAGGTACAGTGACAGGCTGTGTAACAGCCAATGCCACTGCCTGAGCTGAAGGACCTAGAGATAAGTTTATTGGTGCTTCATCTCTAATCAAAGGAATTGTCTGGCCACTTGATATCCTGTATGGTGACTCAGTATGCTTTGATATAGTTAGCTGGAGTGGTGATGCCATTGGGTGCTCTACACTCACTTGGCTTCCTGTGCCTATTGTGTAACTTGTAGTATTTGTGCATGTGGCAACAGTCACTGTCTCAGAGTCTAGGGTGACTGGAGCTACTAACGAGGAAGCTGCACTGAGATTTATGATAGATGGTTGGATGGCACTAATCTGTCTCCCATAAATTTCATTTGTTGTGGTCTGTCTTTTCATATCCATTGCAGAAGCAGAAAGATCTATACATTTTTCAGTTGCTTTAGCTTCTGTTTTTGGTATTGTACGCAAATCAATAGCATCACCAATAGGTTGCAATTTTCCATTTTCCTTGTACTGATGCTTGTCTAGAGCAAGGGGCTCTGGAGGAATCGGAATGGAGACACTTCTGGGAGCAACGCTTGGGACTGCACTTCTGGTTGTGGCTACCACAGTTTTTGCAGCTTCTGTTGGAAGAAACTGAGTAAATGAAGGTGGAGCTCCTTGAAATAGAGATGGTATTACACCAGGTGCACAAGAAAATGTCTCCAAAGCTCCTGGTCCATACAGGGTTGGCTGTGAAGAACTTGGAATTTCTGTAGCTGTCATCGGAGGAACTACAGAAAACACTGTTTCAAGGGAAACCAGATCTTTTGGGGGTGATCCCAAGGGCCAACTGGTAATGGCTTGAGCAGCAGAAGAATCTATTGGAGTCCCAGGTTCAGATGGTAATGTGATAACCACGTAAGTCTCCATTAGAGACTTGGAATATCTTGGTGAGGATTTATTAGAGTGTGGGGAAAGTGGAGAGGTAGGGGAAGGCAGTTTGTAATCTGCCGAAGTCACTAAATTTAAGGACATACTTGAAGTTAAAGAAAGACCTGTAGGTTTGGGGTAAGTATCTGTTGTTTTCTGTGTAGTCACTGGAATCTGAGGAACTGCTGGCTTGGGGGCAATTGGAGGTTTGCTTGCTTCTGGCCTATGTGTAAATACAAGTCCAGTTGGAATTGAAGAAGGCTTAGGAGGGACAGGAGGAGGGGCACTGACACATATTTTGGTGGCAGGTAACCCATTACTCTTCCGAAGAGTTGTGGCCTCTACTGTAGTAATAGTATCAATGTGGGTTGAAACAACAGTTGTTGGAGTCACTGGAGCTGCAATTGCCACCTTTTTTTTAGGGTGAATGGTTGGCTTAGGTGAAGTTGCTGGGGGCAATGGTGGTGGAGGTGGAGGAGGAGGGGGTGGAGGAGGGGGTGGAGGAGGAGGTGGAGGAGGGGGTGGCTGGGCTGATATATCCAAAGAAGAACTTCTGAAAATTGCACGAGACTTAGATGGATGGGTGGAAACGGGAACACTGGCCGACGGTAACCTATATGTGGAATTTTCCTGACCAGAGATCTTTCCATATACAGAATACGGAGGTACAGGTTGTTCCTTCATCTGAGGGGCTATCACAGAAGAAGGTGTTTGGATCAACCCAGTTTCAGGTAAGCCAATTTTTGTTAGTTCAGCCTCAGACTCTTCCCTTTTATCTGTGTAAGCATCCAAAACTTCCAGAATACTTCCATCCCCCATTTCCTTCTTGCCTTTTATTGGCTCTTTTTCAGATATAGGTGAGTCAGTGGACATGGTGACAGCTTGTGGCCTGTCAGCTTTAGCTCCTACAGATTCCATGATAGAAGGTGCTGTACTAGAGAAGGAAATCACAATATGATCACCATTAGTTCTACTTTCTTGTGTAGTGGTCCGATCTAAAGATCCACTTATATCTTCTGGATAGTCTATGATGCTGCCTGGAAAATAAGTTGATGAAGAAATTTCCTCAGAGACTTCAAATTTAGTTATTACATCTGGTTGCTCTGTATAAGCAGTGGTTAGGCTATCCATGGTAGTGACAGGTGAGGAGCTATCTGTGGTGCAAACTGAAGAAATAGATGATGTGAGAGAAGCTGTGTCAGACGGTGGGACAGATGCAGCACTTTCTGAAGGCTCCGAGTAGTTCAATATCAGTGATTCATGGGCTATTATCTCTTGAATTTCTCTTGTATAGTCAGTTACATATTCATCCTCGAGGTCTTCTGTTGAAAAATGTTGGGTTATCTTAACATCTGGGATAGAGAGAGTTGCACTGCTGGTTGAGTCTGTAAGAGATGCTCCAGAAAGGATACTTGATGTCAAAGATGTATCCTGCATCCTGTCAAAATCCATCGCAGACTCTGCCATGTCATCCCCGACAGTGGTCTGTGTGGGACTGGATCCATCTGTTACCTGCATCTGTTGTCGTCTCATGAGTTCTTCATAGGCAGCATCAGCATCTAATAATTTCTTTTCTTCACTGGTGGAAGTCACCATGGTTCCAAGATCCACTATTTCGTGGCTTTCTGGAATGATATAAGAGCTGGAAACTATGTCTTCTTGAGGCACAATAGAATGTAAACTTTCTAATTCATAAAACTCTTTCTGGAGGTCTGTAATTTTCTGCATAGGATCATCATAAATCTGTTCTGGGAGTCTTATTTTTTGTTCTCTTCCTCTCTGCTGCATAAATCCATTATGTTCTTCTTGCCTTGTGAGCAGACTGCCATCTACTGATCCACTGTATGTGTCCTCTACTAAAGATTCATAAATGTAGTCCTCTATTAACATGCCACCATACAATGGCTCTTTTTCAAACACTTCATCTCTTTCATTTGCAGCTGGAAAAGCTTTATATTTGTGGTTTTTCTGCATCATTTCTTCGTACATCTCCTCAGCACTTTTGAGAGCCTTCTGAACCCCTTCTTTCTGCACAACAGATTGCTCATCTGTTGGGGAGTACAAAGACACAGCTGTGGGCAGTTTATAAACTTTTTGGACTTCTATTATTTTCTCAGGGCTTATTTCAAACCCTTCTGGGTCTGACTCAATGCTAGGTGAGTATTCGGAACAAGAGGACCTATGGAGTTCCTCCATTTCTGCTGCCTGGCGCAATTCTTCTGTGGGAGATGCATCCTCGATGGGAGAGAGATTACTGGGCGGTGTCTTTGGTCTTTCTCTCCTTCTTTGAGCACGGAGTTCATCTTTATCTTTCTTTGATTTCTTGCTAGAACTCTTCCTTTGCTGCTGCTCTAATTCCCGCTGTTTCTCTTGCTCTTTTAACAGTTCTTCTTCTTCTCTTAATTCTTCTTCTTCTGAAGAATCTTCAATGGTGGGTAAAAGTGGGCCATGAGTCCTGTGCCGCGCTTTGCGCTGCTGCTTGCTCTCTCCTTTTTTGTGACTCGGGCTACTGTCACTGTCCTCATCAAGTGATGATACTGATGTAGGGGATGTGCCAGGAGTGAAGCTGGATGCATGGAGACTAGAAGATCCCTCTCCCCTAGATCTGTCTTCAGGTGAGTCTGTCAGGCTTTCCATTTCTAATTCTGGCTCTTCATCAAAATACAAAGTTGTTTTTTTCTGAGAGGATTCTGCCGAGTATTTATCTGCTATGGTACTGTTTAGTTCGATCGTCTTAAATCGACGTAACCCCCCTCCTCCAGCAATTACAAGTTCTTCGCTCTCCTGGCTCTTAGTTTCTCGGAATTTGAGTTCAGGACTGTCATCATATGTTTCATCATCCTCGTCATGCCAGGAATGACGTCTCCCTGCATCATCATCAAAGCTAGTACTACTCTTGCGAGTCAGCCGTCTGTGTTTCCCTGTTATGCTTTTCCCTTTTCCTTTTGTTTCTTCCCTCTTGTGGCTCTCAGTCATACCACCAATCTCTTTAAGTTGACTCCTGATGAACTCATCATCTTCGGAGCCAGAAGCATCCTCATCAGCACTCATTTCTATAATCTGTTTTCGAATGAAGTCCTCCTCTTCTCCAGAACCTTGACTGTCTTCCTGTTTATACTCATCACTGCTTGATGAGCCAACACTAGTTCTCCGCTTCCTACGTATAACAGGGGAGTTTTCACTTTCACTGCTGTCTTCCACTGAATCATAGGATGCTCTTCTTGGACTTAGGTCATCAACTAACTCAGGCTTTTCTTTATAATCCTTTCTAGAAGGAAAGCCTTGTTGGCTATCCCTTTTGGAACTCTCTTTCTTTTCTTGGCTCTCTTTGTCCTTTTCTTCTGAAATAGTAATATCCTGTGTGTCAGATGGAATCTGAGATTTTTGCTGGTCCTGAGGCTGCTCTGGAGACAGCTTCTGGGGCTGTGCTTTCTTTTCTGATTTTTCACTACGTGTACTTGCCTGAGCTTCCAAAATGGACAGTACTGTACTTTCCAATTTTGCTAAGTCAGTGGGACTTGAAGGGCTGCTTTCTTGTGAGAAAGAGTCCTTTTTGAGTCCTTTGAGCAAATCTTTTTCATCACTTGGTATAAGACTTGGAATTTCACCAAGAGAACCTGATATTCCATCAGAAGAATATCCTGTGTCACTCAGACCTTGTGGGCTCTTGGGCTGCTGAGAACTGGGGGTATCTGATTTGTCCTCTTCCTTTTCCTAGCAGATGGGGAAAGACACAGGCAAATGTATTAGAGGCAAACTAATCACATGGCTTCACCATTATTATTAAATAACCATTAATAGTTGGGCAATAATTATGGAAAAATTCAGCTATATGATGACAGTGTTTGCTCTTCTTTTTTGAGACACAGTTTCTCTGTGTATCTTTGAAGCCCATTCTGGAGCTTGCTCTGTAGTCCAGGCTGGCCTCTGAATCACAGAGATCTGTCTGTCTCTGTCTCCTGAGTTCTGGGATTAAAAGTGTATGCCACCACTCCATGGCATATAATGATAGTTTCAAAAATGTTTGTATGAAAGCAAAGTTGAGAAAAGTTGACATTCACTAGATTAGGTTGGTTTTAATTTAACCAAAATTTAAATTACATATTAATTCTCAATGTCAGTTGATTTTTTTTTTTAACTCTGTGAGGCCCCTTTACATTTTAATTTCACTTTACTTCAAATACATTATCTATATCAATAGAGTTACCTTGTGATGTTATTGTTAAAAGAAAAAAAGTCAATCTCTTTTTGGTGTGTGTGTGTGTGTGTGTGTGTGTGTGTGTGTGTGTGTGTGTGTGTTCTTGGAGGCCAGAGGAGAACATTGGATATTCTGTTCTATCATTTTTTGCCAAATTCTCTTGAAACAGGGTAATTCATTGGACCTGGAGCTTATTGTTTGGGCTAGCACTAGATGGCCAATGAGCCCAAGAGATCTCTCTGCCAGCCCTGTCCCTGCTCCCTTCCCAAAGACTGATGTTACAGGTGCACAAGGCCACTCTGATGTTTTACATGGATGCTGGAGTCTGAACTCTGGTCCTCATGAAGATGATTATACAGCAAGCACTCTCATTCTCTGTTTCTCCCTCTCCCTGTCCGTGTGTGTGTGTGTGTGTGTGTGTGTGTGTGTGTGTGTGTGTGTGTATTCTTTTATGGTTTTCCCTCTTCCAACTTCTCTCTGCTGAATAGCTTTATTTCAATTTGACACAACCTAGAATTATCTGAAAGGAGGAAACCTCAATTGAGAAAATGTCTCCATAAGACCCAGCTATAAGGCATTTTCTTAATTAGGGATTGCTAGGGATGGATCAGCTCATTGTGTGTGGTGCCATCCCTAAGCTTGTGGTCTTGGGCTAAGCAAGACATGTGTAACAAACCAATAATTAACACTCCTCCATGGCTTTTGCATCAGCTCCTGCCTCTAGGTTCCTGCCCAGATTCAGTTTCTCCTCTGACTTCCATTAGTGATAATGTGACTTGGAAGCTGAATAAACCCTTACCTCTCCAAGTTTCTTAGACATGGCATTTCATCACAGCAACAATAACTAACTAGTACATCCTCCCAGATCGGTCCTATCTCCTCACCCACCCACATGCCCTGCCCCCTTTCTCTTTCTCTCTTTTTACAAAGTAAACAAACAGGCAGAAAACAAAAACAAGCCCAATGAGCCACTAATAAAAAGCTTTCCTGAAGCACCACCTCATCACATTCTGTATGATGATACAGAACAATGATTGAATGTTCTCCATGATTTCTTCAGTTAACTCCATCTATCCATCACTTAAAGTAAACACCATGGTTATGGAGAAATATCAGTCAAAATATAATCTTTCATAATTTAATTTTGATAACATCGTTTTTATATTTCTTGCTATATATATGGTAAAGGTCAACAATGTAATTAAATTTCATTCATATGAAGATAAAATAAATATTACTGTTTGGAACAGCTAGCTGAACATAATAAAAAAGACATTATAGTTTTATAATATGAATTCTTGAAATCTATCCTGATATTTTTATAAAGTAAAATTAAGACTCCATACATAGAATGTAATAAAGAAAAGCAAAAAGAATTCATGAAATTCTAACACAAAGTAACTAAATATTTTCCCTGCACCTGTCTTTGTATGTTTTTCTTCAGTGCCCATGCTTCTTTCATTGTCCTGTGCTATATTCTATCTGAACATCCCATCTGTTCCTGTCTCTGTCCCACATGCTTCCCAGGATTCCATCCGCATGTTTGATGGGGATGCTCCTGTGCTCTTTTGTCTATTCTGTATTAAAGGGTAGCAAGTGTATAAATGCCTATTCTGCAGGCTTGCAAGTCTAAGACAATATGTCATGAGTGGCTGATGTCTCTATTCTGAATTAAAGGGTAGCAAGTGTATAAATGTTCATTCTATAGGTTTGTAGGTCTAAAACAATGTGTTAGGAGTGGTTGAAGACAAATTAATTAGTTGCTTCTAATGCACCTCACTGTAAGATTCAAAGGATACACTGAAAAGCTTCATAATGTTAACTTTTTCCCACTGACTAAATTTAGGTATGCGACCCCTGACAGAATAATGTGCCCTAATTAACTACACAGTTTAGTTGTGAAATCTGATCACTTAGTGATCAATCAGATCCTTTGCTTCACTGATTAAGACACCTACAAATTAGTCTTTATTATGGCTATTAATCATTTTTAAAAGTCCTTCATATCGGGACTTGGCAACCATTTTTCTTTCTTGTAGTTAACTGGTCCTTGGCACTGCTTCATTAATTACTTCCTGACAACGGGAATTAGATGCAGAGTACAGCCCACAAACTGGATCTTGTTTTCCCTAATTATTGCACTTCAAAATGAGTGTTTGAAGCACCATAGACTAAGATATAGTTGAAGGATTCATGTGAAGGCAGCATAAGGTGGACCATTTTCTCATATGGTGTCCTTTTGCATGCAAATTTTGTCACCCTTGATGAGGTCAGGTGTTGAGAACAGTAACATTGTAGGCAGGGATTTAAAACAGCAATGCTATTTTTTCATTTTAGCTAAAGAAAATGTTTTCTCTGTTTTTAATGATTAGCATTACATTCCAGCACACTGGTCTATATAATGTTGCATGATCCCCATGCATAGAATTTTAGTTACTCAAGTTCTGCTAATCTATTTATTTAAAATAATCATCCCAAAATTTCAGGGACTAAGCTTCAAGTTTTTAATCATACTAGAGAACAGCAGGGAATGATTGAAGCAATTCCTTCTTGTACGCGTCCCACCATCATTTATTGGACAGTGGACGAGTGAGAGAGAAGGCAGTAATGCATTTGCACCGCTTGAAACTCTTCTGATGGTGGTGTACTTTGTGGGAACCCAGTGGAGAAAATGCACGGAAACACGTATGTTCTGTCAAAGTTGTCTGTGCTCTTTTCACAAGAGTTAAAGTCAGTAGCACTCAGCATTGAAGAGAAACAGAAGTTTCTCAATATAATATAAGAATTGAGTTCTAGGACTCATATAAATTGTGCAAAGACAGATAATAATAAGTGCTTGGTTAATTTTTCTAGACTTTTAAAACATGAAATAAAAGAGCACCGGGTTAATTTTGAATCATTTATAGAAAGTTTATGTTAAGATGAACTGCAAATATGAGCAACTAAAGCACTCCAATCAAGATTGAGTCCATATAACTCAGCTCAAGAAAAAGATAAAATAGTTCACCAGAACACTTGATTGTTTTTCACTCTGATTATTCAGTCACAAAGCAATTCCGGCATTGATTCTATGTTGATAGATTACATGAGTATTCTGTTATTTTTAACAGAAACCAAAGTCCACATTAAAATCTATGTTAATTTTAGTTTCCATCTGGAAGATTGTAGTTTTTCAGTATAGTAATCAAGTAAAGATTAAAAGTTTCCTGCTGGAATAAATAGATAAAAAGCCAGAATTTTATAGCACCATGATTTAAAACTACAAAACTAAAAAGGTTAAAGTTGTATGCTTTAAAATATGTATAATATTCAAATTTATTCATTTTATTTTACTGAATAAATACTTTTTGAAAATTTGAATAAAGAAACAGAATGGTGTGGTAACAAACATAAACAACACAACACTGAAACGACTGACAATTTGATAAATGAATGTAAAGCAGTACAAATGTACAAGCTGTGAAAGCTATCCAAGGGATTGTACTGAATGCTATAAAAGGAGATGGATACTAAGGAAAGACCTTATGTCAGATATGTCACAGGAGAAAAGTCATCATAGGGAGTGGCTGGGTGTAGGCGCTTTATAATCAGAACAGTATGAAAACCCTCATTCCACTATTTTCCTCTAAGTATACTTGAATTTGGAGTTTAAAACCCAATTTCCCTATTTTTAAAACAGCCACCACAATGTTTATATCATCAATATCCGTGTAGGTTAGATAGGAGGAAATATTTTATAAAATGCCAAGAATGTGGTAAGAAAATTGGAGTATTGCTTGCCTTTTAAAATGGCAATATAAAAAGGAATGAATGTAGGGAGTTCTACCACTGGAGAGGTTGACCTTCTGTCACAGGGTGAGGGGATGGCACCAAAAGGACAGCAAGAAGCGGGGGAGGGGGTGTTGGGGGGGGGGAAGGGAAGTTCTGCTATGGGCTTGCAGGGAAGGTGTTGCACAGGAACACACACACACACAGAGGTCAAAACAGCTCCAGAAGGGAGAAAACAATTCGACCCATGCCTAAGAATCACAAGTGTTTGTGGTTTTGTTTTTCTCACTGGTAGCATATGGTGAGGGTTCCAGGGGAAGTCATATTGCAGCTAGATACCATAGGGTGAAAAGCCAAGCTAAGCTACTTAAGCAGGACTACCCACTGTGAGCGTGGATAGCCTGAATGTTTAATATCATTTAAACCCAAGACAGAAAGTTTTATTTTTGATTTTGGAAGTAGACTGATAGTTTTAAAGTTCTTTAATTTTCTGTTATTTATTCTCATGTTTTACAAAATCCTGAAGGAAATATTGGAAGTTCTACTATAATAAAAAATATATATAGTGAAACAATCACTTCGTTTATTCAGTGTTAATTTAAAACTTATTGTTTGGATGAAAAAGAAGGAAAGAAAGAAAGAAGCATGACATAGTTTCACCTAAAACCTTTTCTATAGTAGAGTAGTGGAAGATAAAACAATAGCAAACACATACAAAGGTCTGTGCTGATAAAATCTATAATACAGAGAACTCAAGAAACTGACACTGCTTGTATTGCTACAGGCATTTGTCTAGCAGCATATTAAGGTAAAATAATGATTAAATGAGATCCCACATAGAGTAAGTAAAATATTTTACAGTGCCAAGAAAACTTGATGAATATGTTTCTATAAGCATTATGAGAATAACAAACTCAGGAGCTCAGGGAAGCATTAAGTATAGGGATCTCTTTATGATTAAAAGACAAACATGTTGACCTTGAATTTACAATTAGATTTAAAGGGGAACTATCTACTCAAGTACATGAAACACACATTTCTGAAAGGCAAGCATGGAGATACATATGCACCTGTGAATTTAAGGGCCAATTATGTGACCTCTCTGGATAGAAAAGAAGGAAAAGTCAAAAGAAAAAAAAACATTTGGGGCTGACAAAGAAAAAACCTGGAAATGATAAATGCAGAACCCACAAAAGATGAGCATCATGAGAAAAAAGGGAGTGGGGATGGGTGAGCAGGCACCTGTCTAAGTGGACACAAAATAGCAAACTCCCACAAACTCATTCTCAGATTGGGATTGTAGTAGATGTACAATAGGTAATTTTTCATGTATCATTGGTATCCTCTATGAATTATAAAAGTTATTTAATTACATATAAGCTATTTTGTGGATCACTAAGCAGCTTGTGTATAGACATGTACATATATACATACAGATATGTACATATATATATACACACACATACAGTGTATATATATATATACACACACACATACAGTGTATATATATATATATATATATATATATATATATATATATGTAAATCAAAGCAAGAAAGTCCACTTTAAGAGGGAGTAAGGGAGGATGAAGGGGGCTAAAAAGAACAGATGGGAGGGTATAAAGTGGGGCTCATGTAGTTAGATTTTAATTAAAATTAATATACCTGAAATAATAGAGTTCCATTAAAATGATAGAACTGCTTATGTAAAAAATACTACTTAAAATGAGCTATTCTTGAAGCTTCTCAGTAAAGGGACAGTATGCATTAATCTATACTATATGTAGATCATAACTAATCCTTCCACATGAAGCATATGACACTAAATCATGTTAAAAATGTAAAGTTAGCTATGATTATATGTGAATATATATGTATTAATTTACTTTCATTCTGGATTTTGAACATATTTCCCCCCCCCACCCAAGGATTTTGTGGCTGACCACAGCTTAGAAATCTATCAAAAGGAAAAACAAAAACAGCTACCTGCCTCTTACCAAACCAACTATCTTAATGACACATTATATGAGAAAACTGACTTATATACCCATTGTAGATTAAAAAATATAACACAGAGCTCTAGGAAACCTTTTGAATTTTCTCTATGAAGTAGAGAATTTTTTCTATGCTTTATGGAATTTGATTGAGGTATCAAATTGCCATTGCTTTTCATTTAAGCAAAAATAAAACAAGAGTTCTCTGAAACATAACTCATGGTTTAAAGGTTTTCACACCCATCCTATTCGTGATCAGCTCAGGTTCTAAGTACTAAACCCTGGGGAATGCATGTGCCAGACTGCCACCTCAGGACAGAAAACTTACTGGTTTTTCTTTGGTAGGCTCCCCTTGGTCAGACTTGGTACTGCCTTCCACCTGGGGCGCCTCCACTGCTCTGCTGTCTTTGTCTCCTTCCTTGGACAAAGTCTGAGGTGTGTCGCATGTCAGACCTCCAGTCCTGGCCTCTGGCTGACCCTCTTCCTGCCCTGCCTTTGTGGCCACTCTTCCTGTGGGTTCTTCTTCAGGAATTTGTTCTTGAGCTTGAAGTATTTCATGTCTCTCCCCCACCAATGACACCAATGGCTTTACTTCTGGGGGTAATTTCGTGTCTTTAGGGGTTGGCTTCTTTCTTTCGAGTGGTGGTTCTTCTTCAGTAGAAGCCAGCTTCTCTTCAGCAGATGGCTTCTTTCCCATTTTCTCTTCAGAGAGTGGCTTTTTCTCTTCAGAGACTGGTTTCTTGTCTTGCAGGGCTGAAATTTTGCTTTTCTCTAATTTAGTACCTTCTAGTTTTTCATCTGTGCTGACCGTCGGGGGCATTTTCTCCGTTGATGGTGTTTCTTTTTCTGGCATTGGTTTTTCAGTTTCAGTTTTTACTTCTGTTTCTTTCTTTTTACCTTTTACATGGACCCCTATTGGTATTTTCTGAGCTGATGGGTCTGAAGGCACAGGCACAGGGGTTGCCTTGGGTCCTGATGGTGCAGGTGGCATTTTGCCAATATCTCCAAGTTGTCCTGATATTGCTCTGTTCGTCTGGCAATTTAAACAAAGCCATTCTTGAATCTGCAAAATGGAAAGAAATGAACAGATTAAGATTGTTGCAGACTTTCTAACCTAGTGCATTTATCAAGATGAAATTTGAAAAAGTCTATTTGTTCTATTGATTGTTGAGAGGCACAGGGTGAGTCACAGTGAATCAAAAGAGCACTACTGAAAAAATGAAAAAAAAAAAAGATTATTTAAAACATAAATGTGGGGAAAATGTTTGCTTTTCTTTTTCCTAAAATTATTCTGATTTTCTGACTGGAATGTCAGAATATCAGTCTGACTGTGTGACTGATGCTCAAGTTATAATGAGTTGTCACACCTTTCAGCAGATCATCATAGTAGTACTCAAATATATAGTTTCCCAGGGGACAAACATCAGCAGGCACCAAGTGAAAAAAACATGACACTACATTTTGTTTAGAGTGGACAATTTATCTGTAGCTATAGCAATCAATATACAGTGTATTGTATGATGTCTTAGCAGAATAATAATAGTAGATTTCCCCTAGAGTCCATGACTTAACCAGTCTCAGGCTCTTGGCCCCATTGACATTGTCTGATATAGAATCCAACGTGTGGAGTGTGATAGGAATCTAACAAAAAAGTGGTTAATTATCTCCCATAATACTTTTTCTACTTTTGCACCAATACATCTTCCAGGCAGGGAGCTGTTGTGGGTTTCAGGGTTGGTAGCTGGATGTTATCTCTGAGAGTTGCTCTACCAGCTGTTCACATGGGAGATAACGGTGATATAGCCACAACTGCTTGAAAAGTTTATCAAACATACTGTAAGTTGGAGAACTGAAGTATTTTATTTGGCATAACTGATACACTAAAGTTAAGCTTCTTACCTCAGTTTCAAAAAGATATGAAAATACTGAGTATACCACCTACCAAATATGAATGTGTTTCATTTTCTCATCATGTTTCCTTTTTAATAAAAGTCATGTTGTTTGTGATACTATTTCCTCAGTAATTTCACAAAAAATAATCAGAATTTTATAATAGATAAAACTTCCCAATAGAATGAAACCTGCATTCCTGCTATATTGAAAGTCCCAGCTTGTTTACCCCGTTTACACTGTCAAATGATTTTTAGAATCCTTGTGACAAAGCACTGTGAGACTACTATTTTCAACTGTTTTTGTTTTTTTTTTTGAAATGTCTAGTTGATAATATGAATAATGAAAATATGTTAAGATATGCTCAATCACATCATGGATTTTGAAACTATAGCACTGATCAAGACGTGTTGTTCTGTAGATGTTATCTCTGGGGACTATTCAGCTCAGAGCTATGGTTCTCACTGTATGACAATAATCAAGTCACTTTCTTTCCCATGACTTGTATACCCAGTTGTTATATAATACTAAAGTTTACATCAGAATTGTGTTATGGGAATTTAAGAAAGGATTGATAATGAGGGGTCACACATACCAAAAGCAAAGGCACCAAAATACATCCTAATATTTTAAGGCAGAGTTTACAGAACTTTACAATTGACTTTCATATTTGTACTTTTATAAGAAACTAAAGATCTATAACCCTATACAGATTACAATGTTGTCAAATATATTAATATTAAGAGCCACTTTAAAGTCTAAAAATCCAAAGCAGGGTCAAAATGAGACTTTTCTCTAATAATATTCTACTAAAGCAAGTAATTTTCTGCAAGGATTTTAATCAAAGCACCTGGAGAGATGAACCAGTAAAAAAAGCAATTTGAAATTGAATTTATCTGGAGACAATATAGCATAAGAAATCAGGCAGTCTTATATATATGACCCTCCCACCTTATTGCTTGCATAGTAAATACACATTAAATAGTAATGACTAAAAAGAAGCAACAGCCTTTATCTCTTACATTAAAATATATGTAATAGGGGACAGAACATAAAACACAGAAGTCAAGGATAATGTCTGCCCTGAGCCTAGCATCTGACTCCTGTGTGATTGTTTCTCCTGTGTCCTTTTCAGAGAGTAGTTTTCATGACTTAGATGCAAAAATAGCGGTGAACTGGCTGTTCCTCAAAATGTCTGGTCATGTTTTATTCACTTGGTGCAGTGCTGAAGTCGTCCCCTGGGAAACTGTATATTTGAGTACGCCTACGATGATCTGCTGAAAGGTGTGGCAACTCATTATGCCTTGAGCAGCAGTCACACAGGGAACACATACTACTATACCAACAGACACGCTAAAATGAAAGTGGGGAACCTCATGAAGCCCCACCCACAAACAAGAACAAGTTAATGTTGAAAGTGGAAGAAATAGTCTTCCCTAAGAATGATCTTCATATTTGATTATTCAGGACCAACTGGGCAACCCTGACATTGTAGACATATAAGTAACATTAAATGAAGCCAATATGTTGTATTTATATATGTAGGCATATAAAATATATGTTCATAGTTATAAAATCAATTAATTATGCATTATATACATATATAGGTAAAATCATATATTAAAATCTGAACCTTAAAACCTTTCATCCTAATCTTTCATTACATTCTAAACCTTAGATCCAGAGTTGCCTTTGTATATACAAAAAAAAAAAAAAAAAAAAAAAAAAACACAATAAATTTTGATCTTATTCTTTTCTCTTTCCCAGATCCTTACAGGTTCTCCTTATCCATATGTGTGAGTGTGTGTGTGTGTGTGTGTGTGTGTGTGTGTGTAAACTAAAGAGATATTCACTCTGTCAGTGAGATAATTCTGAGTGAGATATTTACTCTGTCTGCACCTGTTGCACTGACCATGCCCATGGGGGTGAAAACAGGCATAGATGTGACCTGGGGGAACTAGGTCTGAGTTAGGGACCCTAGAGTGCTCTCTCATTTGCTGGATGGAGACAGAAAGCATCTGGATGCATCCTTGCGATGGGAACCTGCTGGCGTTCATCTGTCTCTGTTCTAAGTTATTTCTCCCTGAATAAACATCTATTCAGCCTGTTTTGCCCGATCCTTAATATTCCACGATAGTTGAGAGGTCATACATTTGAGAGGGGATTATGGAGACTCTCGCAAATATATAAATATCAGTTATGAGGTTCTTAAGTCATGTTAATCATTGTGGTGAATTAAAGAAAAATGGCTCCCAAAGGGAATAACACTACTAGGAGGTGGAAGTGTGGCCTTGATGGAGGTAGCTGGGGTGAGATGTGAGATCTCCTATGCTCAAGACACCTGCAAGTGTGTTATGCCACTTCCTGTTGTCTGAAAGATGTAGTAATCCTAGCTACTTTTCCAGCACCATATCTACCTTCATGCTGCCATATCCCCCACCATGATGATAATGGACTAAACCTCGGAAAAATGTAAGCCACACTATTAAATGTTTTTCTTTATAAAAGTAGTTGTGGTCATGATGTCTCTGTATAGCAATAGAAACCCCAACTAAGACAGAAGTTTGTACTAGGAGTGGGGTATTGCTGTGATAGACCTGATCATGTTTTTGTTTGGAAGAATTTAGACATTGATACTTTGGGTTAGGAAAGCAGTGGGATGCTTCGAATACTGCTTAATGGGCCATACTAGTAGCAGCATGGAAGACAATGAAGATAAGAGTGGCTTGAACTGTGTGTGTGTGCAGGGGTGACTCAAAAGGTTTCAGAGACGAATAGTATTAATATGTGTTAGAGATGGTTCTTGTGATATTTTGTCAAAGAATATAACTGGTTTTTGACCTTGTCTGAAGAGTCAACCAGAGGCTGAAATGAAGAGGTTTGGATTAATTCCACTGTCAAAAGAAATCTGAAAATAGCCTAATGTGGTGATATTTTGTTTATCAGAGTTCAAAGCTAGCTATACTAGTCAGCCATAAAGACCAGGGAATGGTAGCATACTCTTTTAATCGCAGTAGCCACATTAGTTAGCCATAGAAACTGGGTGGTGGTGGTGCATGCCTTTAATCCCAGAACTAGAAAGGAATATAAGGAAGGTGGAGACAGAAACACAGTGTATACAGTCTGCAGTCACACCAAGAGCAGGATTGCCCCTTTTTGTCCAAGCCTCGGTAGATTTAAGAATGCTCTAGTACTGGCTGCTTTGCTTTTCTGATCTTTAGCTTGAACTTCAATATCTGTCTCTTTGTTTTTATTATACATGCTATAGCATAATATAGACTCTGTCATATGGTTGTTAGTGGTGACTCTCACAAAAGATTTATAATGAAAAAGGGCAAGCTGAGTAAGAAAAAAAATACAGATTGTACAGACTGAGGAGAAAGGGGGCATGAAATCTTGTGTTCAAGGTGTTCGAGGAGATAAAACAGATAAAGAAATAGAAAAAGGAGAGTTCTGACCTCAAGGCAAGATCCCACTCAGCTAAATTTCCAGATTGTGAAAAGAAATTAAAGAAAATTTTAGAGCTGGGTGTGGTGGCACATACCATTAATTTCAGCAGTTGGAATACAGAACTGGTGGATCTCTGAGTTTGAGGCCAGCCAGGTCTAACCACGGAAAACAGAGAGTTGTTGGAGATGTAACTGAACAAGGGTGTCAACTTCCAGCCCCAGTAAGCAGAAGAACTAGACAACTTGGCCACATGGTTCTGGCTTCAGAATGAAAGATAAGGACTTTGAAATTTATTTCTGTGACTAAGAAAAGCCCATGAAGGCAGGCATGTGTCAAAGGTGTCCCTGAATGAAGGTCTAGTGAGGCCATTGCTGAAGCTGTGAAGTTGAAGCCTGAATTGCTTTGGAGACCCCAAGATGTTAGAAATGCCAAAGTCATGGATAACCTGCTAAGGAGAGCTGCTAACAGCGAGTGGAACCACCCCAAGACAAACAAGTGTGTTGCAGTCAACAAAGCTGAAATGAGTTGGAGATCATACATGGGAATGCAGAGTTTGGAGATTGTTCAGCTAGTTTTCAATCTTACTTTGGTCCAGTATTTTCTTACTATGCTCCCTTTCCTCCATTTTGGAATGGTAATGTATTATTGTGCCATTGTATGTTAGAAGTATGTGATTTGGTCTTTGATTTTGATTTTGTAGAGAAATTACAGTTAAGAGATTGC